GAGCAAGCAATGCTCTTAACCACTGAGCCATCTCTCCAGCCCCAGATGACTCTATCTTAAATGACAATAAAATATACATATTGTGAAGCTTATCGTTTTAATAATTCTCAGCATAAAGTTGACCAATATTAAGTAAATTTCCATTGTTGTATAATCATTGCCCTCTCCATGCCCTGAACGTTTTCATCAGCCCAGACTGCTTTGTTGCCACTAAAACAGTAACAACCTCACTCTCTGCTGCCTGCCTTCATATCTCCTAATGCACACAATTTTCTCTATGAATTTTAATATCATAGCTACTTCATATAGCTAGAATATAATGATAGGCTTCATAAAACAGGTTTTTTATGTGTCTCGTTTCACTCAGAGTATGTCTTCAGTTGATATTCTAGCCTGTGTTAGAATCCAACTCGTTCTCTTTCTAGCCGCCATCTTTACACGTACTGTGTGCGCGCTCACTCGCTGGAGCGCATGCGCATAGGTCAGAGAAGAACATGTCAGAGTTGTTTCTCCTCCCCCCACTATGGAGGTCCCCCCAGCTCGGCAGCAGTGATCTTTACACACTGAGCCATCCTGCTGCCCCCCTCACTCTTTTCCAAGGACGGTTAACAAAATTATTTTATGTGGGAAACAGACACAGAAAGCGAGTTGTAACCAAATGCCTGAGCGGTTTGCTCCAAAGCCTACAGCAAGTCCAACATAATTCAAGAACTTTCCCATGTGACAGAGTTCTTTCAGCACTTAGGATCTGAAACTTACAGTAGCAGACTTTAAAGGGGTAATGCATTTCTTCATTTTAAAGCCGTGTGAGTGATCCACAAAGCACAAAGAAAACTACTTTATGGCGAACACTGCCTACGTCCCTTTCGATTCTAGACAGCAAGGAAGGTCTGCTCTTTAAGGGCTGGCCCTCTGCTACGGGTGCCGCAACAACTGTCTGTGGAGAGAGTTGTGACCTCTTTGTGACCTGCAGGGACTGGGCACGGAGCTGTGAGAGTAGGTAGGTACCCGGCACCAGCAAAGGAAAGCCTACATGAAGGGGCATGTGTGTGCTGACGTGAGACACGCCATATTTCTGATGAGGTCTTCACGCCTTCCTTGCCTTCAAGTGCAAAGTGGAGCCATGAAATTCCCTTTTTGTTAATGTTCAGATATGGTAATGCCAAGCATTCATGACCGTAAGCATGGAGAATCGATGGGATTACAGTCTGTTCAGAGAAATAACATGGCGATGAGAGAAGGGACCTCTGCCTGTGTCCGGACCCTGGTGGCAGCTTTTTCTAACAGGTGAACATTTTCTTCCCTCCCTGCTGAAAACACATCCCTTTGTATGCCGTGCCAAGTGGATGTCTACAGGACGAGGTCGAAGGAAGGCAAGGAGGACACGAATAATTGAGATGTTTTTAAGAATGTGTAAGTCACTGAGCGCTTCGGTAGTATCACTTCAGACATTTTCTGCTTCCCAAGGGTGGCCAAACTGAAATCCTATCCTTCTGCTTAATGAACAGAAGAATGTCATGGTGTGGTGGTGGGAAGATTGGAGATGGTCACATGACAAGCTTCAAGAAAATCAGAGCTTCTAAATCTGAGGAACATGAACCCAGGCCTTTCTCGTGAATATCTGAGCAGAATGAATCAGCAGCTAACTTCTGCATGACCGACAATAGAAGAGGAGACTATGAAAGGGAAGACAGGGCCTTGAGGGGACAGGGCAGGGAAATGAGAGGGGGTAATGGGGTGAAGAAATACAAAATATTGCTTATTCTCTCATACGAGAAACCCAGATTTAAATACACACGCGCACACATATACATGCTCACGCCTATGACATGATAGCAGAGGAGGGTATTGGAGGGGGATGGAGTGGGATGTGATGGGAGGGGTAGAAACAAAGTCGAGTGGTGTTTACACATGGAATATCATAAAGGTCTTTTTAAAGTAATAACAGCCAGAAGCTGGTATCCAAAGCATTTCTATGACGCTCTAGATACAAGCGACTCGGAAAGTCTTGGTGCAGCTAACCACAGATGGCCAGCTTCCATCCTAAGAGCCATCCCCGGAGGTCCAAAGCTGCACAGTTGAAGTAAAAGCTTAGGAAGTAAAGCCTGGGCAGGTGAGATGGCCCAATGGGTGAAGAGTGTGCGTGCAAGCCTGGACCTGAGTTGAATCCCCAGAACTCATATGTCTTAGTTAGGGCTTTTATTGCTATAAAGAGACACTGTGACCACAACAACTCTTATAAGGAAAACATTTAATTGCGTGACTTGCGTACAGTTTCAGAACGTTATCGTGATAGGGGAGCATGGCAGATGCAGGAAGACATGGTGCTGAAGCTGAGAGTGCTACATCCTTCAGGAGACAGGAAGTTGACTGCCTCACTGGGCAGTGTCCTGAGCATAGGAAACCTCAACATCTGCTCCCTCAGTGACAAACTTCCTCCAACTAGACCACACCCACTCCATCAAAGCCACACCTCCTAATAGTGCCACTCCCTATGAGCTTATGGGGACCAGTTACATTCAAACTACCTCCATCATTGGTGGAGAGAACCAAACCCACAGGGCAGTATTCTGACCCCTACAGATGTGCGTGGCGCATGCCACCCCCCACAATAATATAAATGAATAGATAAATAAGTTCAAAGGTTTGAGACTTAAGGCACGCCCGTGACTAACTCTGCTTCATGACTGAGCTGGTCAGGCTTGTCTCTGTGCTCAGATGTTTAGTGAATGTAGATCAGCTGTGAACGTTGAGATTTGGGGTGAGAAGGAAAAGGGGTTTTACTTCTGTCCCACTGACTGTGTTTCCCTATGTGATTGTCCTTTCTGCAATGAAGCAATCAAATAAGACAGTAACAGAGACTCCTCACAGACAGCAATAGGAGCTGCTCGGTCCCTTCCACCAGTATCATCCTGTTTCTACATTTCTTTGTCCTTGACCTCCAGTCTAATTTGTCTTCTCCCTCCCTTTTATTTATCACAATTTATTTTGAATGACTCTTAATGACACTTTAGACACAATGAAAGAACCAACAGTCGAATTTCCTTATTCAAATATCGGGTGACATTCTTGTTACATGGCTTAAGTCTTCATGATATTGTAAAACACTATATTATACTGCTCTTCTTTCAAAAATCAATACCTTTGAAAGAAATTGAGAGAAAAATTCTCATCTACTATTATACCCCCTTTTCACTATTTTTAAGATTAGCTGTTCTTGTCTAGTAGAGGTAAAACGTTTTCAGTTGTAATACCCCTTCTGTGAGAAGCAAGGTTTTACATGGAGCTAGTTGACCACGTTGGAGAGCCAACAGTCTCAGGGAGGAAGGCCCACATGTTTGTCCTGGCTGCCTGGCTTGCTTAGCCCCGAAATAGCCACACAGAAACTGTATTAGTTAAATCACTACTTGGCCCATTTGCTCTAGCCTCCTATTGGCTAACTCTCACATCTTGCTTTAACCCATTTCTATTAATCTGTATATTGCCACATGACAGTGGCTTATCGGGGAAGATTCAACAGGTCTGACTCTGGCAGGTCCATAGCAGCTCTCTGACTCTGCTTTCTTCCTCCCAAAGTTCAGTTCTGTCTTCTTCGCCTACTTGAGTTCTGCCCCTATCAGGTCAAGGCAGTTTCTTTATTCATTAACCAATACAAGCAACGTATAGAAAAAAGGACCTCCTACACCACAAGGTTGCCTCATCCAACATCCCTTAGTGCAGTATTACTGATCGCAGATGCTCTTATGTATTGAAGACAAAACTAGTTTTTCAATGAGGCCATGTCCACAGCCAGGCCATATCACTTAAGACAGAAAAACCATGGTCACAACTGACCCTAAATCCCAAGAAATTTCAGGGACTGACTCAAAAGCTGGAGCCGAAAGTTGTTCTTCCTTTAGTACCTGAGTAGTTCATTTTGTGTCCTCAGGTGACAAGGTTACAGCACCCGGCTCCTGAATCACTCACCAGCTTAGATCGTGCTGTGAATGTATTTTGGAACTGTAATTAAAAACCTATATTCAGGTAAAAGCAAAGAGCATCAACCTGAGCCGTGTGCTATGGCCTCATCTAATCAGGTTAATGTCTCCGAGATCTCCTAAACGCATCCTGCTGTAGACTGTACTGTTGCCTTCCTGGGATTCTAGTGTGCTATCAGCTTACAAGTCCAGACGTCAGTTCTCCGAAATCAGTGTCTTATTTGAGATAGTGGTCTCACTCTGAAGTTGGTTGGGAACTCCCAGTCTTCCGGCTTCAGTCTTCCAACTACTGAGATGGGTGTGTGACATCGAGTCTATAGTGTGTGTGTGTGTGTGTGTGTGTGTGTGTGTGTGCGTGCGTGCAAGTGGGTGATGGTTGCTCTGGACTGTCTGCTTGATTGAACCTGGAATCAACTAAGAGACATGCCTCTGTGTGGGTCTGTGAGGGCATGCCCAGGAAGGATCTCCTCGCGGGGGAAGCTCTCCCGACAAAGTATGGAGCATTATCTGGCACAACCCAGGTATGGAGGACTGAGAAAGAGGAATGCTGTTTGCCTGCATGAGCTGCTGGCTGATGAGTGTATCTCTTGCATTTCTGCTGTTGCTGTTGCTGTTGCCACCGCCGTTGCCATCAGAACCCGCCTTTTCAAGTTCCACCTGGGTTGAAGATCAGCAACTCTCCAAGAATTCCTGAAGCCTTTCAGCCCCAACTGAGGCTGCTGAGGCATCCACCTTTGTGGTCTGAGCAGCTACTGGGTTCTTACCTGTCCAGTGCATCAGTGGCCACTGTTCGATGACCCAGCCCTGTTGTAATAGATCTATTTTGTAATATATGTTTATTCTATTGGTTCTGTTCCTCTAGAGAATCTGACACACATAAACATATATGTATTTATGTGTGCACATGTACAGTTTATGTATGTACCTTGCTGGTCTGTTTTCTTAGGAGGCAGAAGCCCCAAGTGGAAGGGTTGGAGGCAGCATGTCATGTCAGAGAAAGACTGAGCCCTACAATCTTTTTTTTTTTCCAAACACTGTTTACTTCACTAAAATCTGGAGAGAGGCAGCGAAAAGGTACACCAACACCTGGCCACCAAACTAGGAGTGTACATTGACAACAGCAACATACAGGGCCAAGGTGCTGAGGGCCAGCAGTCCTGTCACCACGGCCCGGGCCAGCAGGGCTGTCCAGCTGCCCAAAGAGAAGAGATGGACGAAGGTCTCCATGACGAAGGCCTTGTAGACACTAAGGAACATCAGGAGGAGGACGGCAGGCCGGAAGGTGTGGTACAGGTCATAGCGGGTTATCATCCAGACCTGAGCCGACGCAACGATGTAGTGGACCAGACTGATGTTGGAGTCGATGCTCATCTGGATGTATTTCCAGTCAAATTCAATGCCTCGGGCTCCCACCCAGAGAGGGATGCAGCGGGACATAATGAGCTCAGCAGTGGCCCAGCCCAGGGCAGCAACCATGATCTTGTATTCCCCCTTGCCTGCATTCTGGGACATGACAAGGTTTAGGCCTATCAGGTCGGCCACATCCACACTGGCCTTCATGAATTCCCCAATGAAGTCATAGATGCCACCTTCCCAGATGAGCCCTACAATCTTTGGTATAGGAATAGGCACAGAGAAGGAAATCCCAGGGTTAGCAGCAGACAGGCCTCTGACACTGCCCCCAGAGCCATTCTTCCTTGCACCAAGACTTATTCATGCATAGTACTTTGTTGAGCTTGTTGAAGCTGTGATGACCCAATAGCAAGAACAGAGGAGGCACCAGGCGGTGGTGGCGCATGCCTTTGTTCCCAGCACTGGAGAGGCAGAGACAGTCAGATCTCTGTGAGTTCAAGGCCAGCCTGGTCTACAGAGTTCCAGGACAGCTAGAGCTGTTACACAGAGAAATCCTGCCTCAAAAAATAAACAAATATAAAGGAAGAAAGGAAAGAAGGGAGGCAGGGAGAGAAGGAGGGAGAGAAGGAGGGAGGGAGGGAGGGAGGGAGGGAGGGAGGAAGGGAGGGAGGGAGGGAGGGAAGAAAGAAAAGAAAAAAGAAAGAAATAGAGAAATCTGAGGTCTGGAAAGAACCCCAGAATGTATCACCCCCAGCCTCTCTGGATAGTGAGAACCTGGAAGGCTGCAGAGAAAATCCACAAGGGCAACCTGGAGACAAAGATATAAGATAGGATTATTCTGGGGCTGGTATGGGAAGTCTGCTGTGGGACAATGGTTTTACCCTGCAAACATTTGTTTCTTGTACTTGTTTAATAAAATGCTGATTGGCCAGTATCTAGACAGGACATATAGGCAGGACAGCCATGCAGGAAGTAGAGGCAGGGCTACGACAACAGGAGAATTCTGGGAAGAGGAAAGCAGTCTGCAGTCGTGACCCAGCTTCAGAGAAAGCAAGATGTGACTGCTTCACCACAAAAGGTACCAAGCCACATGTCTAACATAGACAAGAATAATGGGCTAATATAAGTTATAAGGGTTAATAAGAAGTCTGAGCAACTAGGCCAATCAGTTTATAATTAACGTAGACCTCTGTGTGATTTCTTTGGGCCTAAATGGCTGTAGGACCTGGTGGGACAGAAAACCTCAGTCAACAGAAGTCCTTCTTTCTATGTGTTGCTTTTATTGATTGATGAATAAATCTGTTTCAGCCAGTGGCTTAGCAGAATATAGGTAGGTGGGAAAAAACTAAACTGGATGCTGGGAGAAAGAAGGCAGAGTCAGGGAGAAGCCATGTAGCCATCGCCAGACACAGACAGCGGGTGGAACTTTACCTGGTAAGCCACAACTTCATGGCGATACACAGATTAATAGTTTGAGGTCAGCCTGGTCTACAAGATCTAGTTCCAGGACAGGCTCCAAAGCTACAGAGAAACCCTGTCTCGAAAAACCTAAAACAAACAAACAAACAAACAACAAAACAAAACAAAACACCAAAAAAAAAAAAACCCTGAGCTTCTGTTTGTTTTCAAAAAATTGTTACTACCATCTTTGAGCTGGGGCTGATTTCACTAACAGGTTATAAGCCTGGGAGGGCGCTTGAGGTACGCACTGAGACAACAAGGGAATCCTCCAATCTAGGCTGGCAGTGAGCCTCTTAGCGTCACTCCGCTGCTTTGTCCATCTTACCTACCAAAACACCTGCCATGTTTGCGCTGGAGAACCACACCCACCTGTCCTGAAGTGAGCTGGTCCTGGACCCCAGAAGTGGGTCTCTCTCTTCCCTACCCAAGTTCCTGCGTGACTTTGTTTTTCCGATTCTGTATTCCGGAATCCTGTCTAAATTCCCATAAGGTGTTAAAACCCCTCCCTGTCCATTGGCTCAAAACAGGGACACGTTCTGCCCCCTGACAGAGTGTGTTTCTGAGTTGGGCACCTGATGCTTCCTTAGGGTTAATTAGAAAATTCCCACCAAGAGTTCAGAGGCCAATATCAGCTGTCAAAATCCCACATTCCGCTCTCTCCCTTCTTTCAAGTGCAAAGCGACCTGTGTCTGGAGATGAGCGAGATGAAAGCCTGCACACCCGCGCTGGGGGCTTTGACGCGGCCCTATTCACCGCCCACTGCCATGAATACTGCAAGACCCCAAATGAAAGTTTTAATCTCCCCACCGCCTTCAGGCAGAAGAGAAAAGGGTTTCCTTTTAACAGTTTCCCCCCTTAAACCCTTTGTGCCACAATGCTCCTGAAAAAAGCGGAGACTTCACTCCGGCCTGTCCAGGGCTTTCTGCCCATGAAAGCAATGCACCTCAAACGCTTTGTGTAGACTAAGAAGGGCAGGCGGGTGTGAGGGCAGGCGCCAGGGCAGCGAGGGTGGTGGGCTGCGGGGACCTGAGGCCCGCGGCTCTGCTGTCGCCGAGCTCTGGCCTCTTGACCCAAGAATCTAAAAGCAGCTGTATGTCATATCTGGGGCCTTGGCTGCTTGTCAAAACCTCTGGTGACCAGCGACAAAGATGGACGGTGGAGGGGGATGGTTTCCCAACCTGGGTGTTGCTCTGAGACGAATTGACCCTGCAGGCTTGGGGGCCAATTAGACTTTTTTTACACTCAGAAAAACCGGGGAAAAAAGGAACAATTATGACCAGACACATCCCTTTCCAAGTGAGAATATTCCACTACAGGGAAATACTCAAGGATCCATGCTGTTTTCCCGGCGACTTCAGCTCCCTTTGACCTGTGGCCCAACCTGACGATGAGTCCAGGCTCCAAGTTCTGTCTGTTCCAGCTAGACCTGTCACTCCGCACCTGTAAACTCAGTACTCAACAGATTGAGGCAGGAGAAACACCTCCTTTGACTCCTTCCTGGATCTAATAGCAGATCTTGTCCCCAGATCCCCAAATCTGGGACTGAGGATGGGGTGGAGGTCCTTTGTCATTTTTGTGAAGGGTCAGAGTTAGTGTGACAGAAAGTTTGCCCTGTTCATGGCAAAGCTGTCTTTGATTATATTGTTCTTTAAAGGTGTGTGTGTGTGTGTGTGTGTGTGTGTGTGTTCAAGTTTCCTAAGCTCCTTAGACCGTGAACACAGAGTACTAGGACTCGGTATATATGGTCTTCCTTGTAGGGGCAGGCCTGGGGGATTCGGCAAAGACCTCATTCTGAGGTTGGAAGAAGTGAGGAGAAGTTGGCAGGCTGGAGATTAGTCTGGGGATGACCCTCATTTTGCTTGTCTTAAAGAAACATAATAAGCAAATAGCATTTAAAACTATCCCTAGATCTGTATCCAAACTGTATGCATGGTAAGGTTTTTGTCTATTTGCTCTTATTCTTAAAGCAGGGTCTGTATCCCCAGCTAGCCTCTAGTTTGCTTTTCTCTCTGCTGAGCTTGTTTAGTGCTGGGATTCGATGCCCCACCAGGACAGGCAAAGAGTATGAAGTTTTAAAACTAACACATAAAGTCATTAAGGTTCTTCCTTTCACTTGCCACATGAGGAAATAACAGGTGGTTCTGTGCTTCTTTAAAAACAAAAAAGCTTCTATTAGCTGGGTGTGGTGGATTAGCTGGATGCGGTGATTAGTTGGGTATGGTGATTAGCTGGGTATGGTGTTTAGTTGGGTGTGGTTATTAGCTGGGTGTGGTGGATTAACTGGGTATGGTGATTACCTGGGTATGGTGATTAGCTGAGTGTGGTGATTAGCTGGGTATGGTAGCACAGACTTGTAATCTAACCCTCAAGATGCTGAGGCAGCGGGATCAAAGCTCTTGATCTTTGTCTGTTCTCCATAAGAAGACCTTGAAATTTCTTTTTACCATTTGTAGGATAGAAAAATTTAACCAACTTCTTTCACCAAAAAAAAAACCCACATACACTAATAAGAACAAATTAACATAAAAATAATCCTGACCAGGTTTTCCGCGCATTGACTTTTTTTTTCTTCCTTCCTTCCTTCCTTCCTTTCTTTCTTTCTTTCTTTCTTTCTTTCTTTCTTTCTTTCTTTCTTTCTT